GAAAATTACCCAAAAGTTTCTCGGGTATGTTTAGTTGCTCTCTGAAAAGGCAAATATTTGTCTAGAAAATGCAAGAGAGGTTTTTCAGCAGTGAAGAAAAGCCAGATTTGTACATCTTAAATATTGCTTCCTTAGTTCAGTGGTGTGAAAGGGATATTGTTATCAGAATATTCAGAATAAAGGTCTTGGCTATGAAATTGCTTGACTGAGCTGCTGGCAATGTGGAGGTTATTGGCTTCATAACAACCACAAATTAAAGTTGATTTTATTATATTCAAAGTAATCATAGTTGAAGTAAGAGGCCTATATAACAACTATCCAGGAAATACTGAGAAATGGACTCCAGAAAAGCTGCAATCTCAACAGAAAATCCAAAATCACATCTTACAGGTAATGGTAATGAGCAGCTGTGTGAGCGAAGAAAAACTTTACAGTAGAAAGCTGCCAACCAGGACTGAGCACAGTCCACAGTTGAAGCTGCACGATTATTTTGTCAGGGATAATTTGTGGTAAACCTGAGGCATAACATCAGGAATCACAGAAACATGGAATCATGTAGGACTTCCAGAAGGTCATATGATCCAAACCCCTGCTGAAAGTATTTTCAGTTAAATCAAGTTGCTGGGGGTCTTGTCTAGTCAGGTTTTGAGCATCTCCAAGGATGGACATCCTACAACTCTCTGGACAGCCTGCTCCAGTGTTTGACCACCCTTTTGTTTAAAAAAAAAAAAAAATCTTTTATTGGGTCCTGTGTTCCAGTTTATAGCTGTTGGCTCTCATCCTGCTACGGTGAATCTCTGAGAAAAGACTGCCTCTGACATGTGTACATCTTATCATGAGGTAGTTACAGACAGCAGTAAAATCTTTGCTGAACCTTCTCGTCTTAAGGCTAAACAAATCCAGCTTTCTCAGCTTCTCCTTGTACATCGTTTGGTCTGTGATCATCTTAGTAGCCCTCCACTGGACTCGATCGAGTACATCAATGTCTTTCATGCAGTGGGGAGGCCAGCACTCCAGATGGGGTCTCGCAAGCGCAGAATAGAGGAGAAGGATCACTTCACTGGACCTGCCAGCAACGCTCTTGCTAACACAGCCCAAGACACGTGGTTGCCTTTGTTTGCTGCAAGGGCACATTGCTGGCACATGGTCAGCCTGTTCTCCATGAGGACGCCCAGGTTTTTTTCTGCATAGCTGCTTTCTAGCTGGTCAGCCCCACCATATTGGCGCATGGGATTATTCCCCTACAGGTGCAAGACTTTGTATTTGCCTTTACTGAACTCCCTGAGATTCCTGTTGGCCCATTTCTCCAGTGCGTCGAGGTCCCTCTGAATAGTTGCCCTGCCCTCCTTTGTATTGGCTGCTGCCAGCAAGTAGGTATTGTCCACAAGCATGCTGTGAGTGCATGTTACTCATCGTTTAGGTTATTAGTGAAGACATTAAATAGTATTGTCCCAATGTTGATCTCTGAGGGATGCTACTAGTAATTGACGGCCAATTGAATTTTATGCTGATAATCATCACCTTTTGAGCGTGCCTCGCTGTCCACTTATCTTCCATTTCTCACCAGTTTGGCTCATGACTGAGCACTTGCATAGTTTTAGGTACAAGTGAACTTTCTTTGTATGGCACTTTGATATACAGTTAGGATATGGCAGCATTTTACATTAAGGCAATCAGTTGCTGTGTTTATCGGTTTGCTTGTAGAGAGCCAAAGGAGTCAGTGTGTGAGCTATATTGTATGAATGAATGCATCTGTTGGTTCATCACCAAGCAATATTTATCCTCATGTTATTAAAGCTATAGCTTGGATAAACAAACAACAAGCATGCCAAATATTTACTCTCATTTTTCACTTTACTAGCTCAGTATTATGCCTCTCCTCTCTTCCTTTTTAAGTCACATAATTCCTACTGTTCCAGAGGACATTGTACCCTAGACAAGTAAGTCAAAATTATCAGCAGAATAAATTAATAATTAAAAAAGTGAATAACATGTTTGTTGAGTTGCACTATATACTGTCATATTTCTCTTCTGGAGATATTCAGACAGAGAAGTTGCTTTTCTGAGTCTTCCAGGTAAGAAAGCCTTATAGGCTAATTGGAAGAGAAATAAATTGTTCTAGAAAGCAGTGGGTTATTTTTGTATTATGAGGATAGAAAAGCCATATAATTTATCGAAAGAAAAATGAAAATAGCTCATATATATTTGAATTTCAATTAGCATAAATTAAAGCTTTGAAAAGTGATATCACTACCTTATAAAGTACATTAACTGGAAAAGAGTATCACTTTGCTCATTTCATGAGGCAAGTGAATCCATCTGAGAGAGCATTAACAAAAAATTTGAGAGCCAAATCAACCTGTACAGAATCTTGATCTTGATCCGCTGGACAGATCCTCTAGAACAATTTAGAGCAGCTTCAAGATGGTGTGAAATTTCTGCTGTTACACCACGTCTTGGAAGGCCACAATGCCTTCCAAGCAAGTGTAGAAACCTATTCAATTCAAGCAGATTTGACAACTTCTTTACGGAGAATGGTGTCTGATCCTGAACATTCCTGACTCCTCAACCAAATTTTAGGTAGTTTGAGATCGGTAGATAGGTTAAAATACGAATCATAAATTCATAGTATTCCCATTCCGCATCCCTTTTAGTCTTAATATCCTATCAAAATTCATTTAGTGCTCAGGGAAATTTTCCATTGAGCCAGTTCATCTAATTTACAGGAATAAAGTTTACAACTATTCAGTATGTAATAAGGACATTTCCAGTTTTCACCTCTAGTCTAAATAAATGTCAGTAATGTATTTTCTGTCACCTTCATGATGCTGAATTTTATCCTCTGATGAGTCTGTTGATTTCAGATAGTATTACTTGTAATTGTTAGTTGGCTCATGTCTGTACAAGGCTATTTCTATGAAGCAGTGGTTAAATTCTCACTGAGAAGCATTTCTGACTTCGTGATCTGGCAATTTTTGTTTTTAATATTATTCCTTTCCTTACATAATTTTTTGAAACATCTCAAATCTACAGATACTAATTAAATTGTGATTTCAGATGTGTGTTTTACTTGAGATTTTAACATTTTAGAAAGTTTCAAGTTGATACCAGTAAAACTTTTTTTTTTCTTAACAGATGGCTAACACTTAGGATATGATTATAAAGCACAGTGTAGTGTCATGCGGATATATTTGAACTAGCCTGAGTATTTCAAAGTCTCTATTTAGTTCACCTCATCATATGGCTTTAACACTTCCAGTTCCTGAAGTGACTTGGTTATATTGACGTGACATATCGTTATGACCTCACTCTTTTTCCTTATGGAATGCATTAGTCAGAGCAAAAGTGTCAAAACACATTTCACATTTATTTTAACAAGCAGTAAACTCCAAAGTGCATCTCACCCCATCATTGTAATTTTATGTATGAAATAAAACAACCAGCAATATGAAATTGTCAGCTGACATCATCTGTAAGCGTGAAAAGCTTCAAAAGAATACAAGGCAGGGGCCTTATTTTGAAATTTATGAAGATGGCTTTTATATGCATATCAAAGAATTAACTATGCATTTTGGTTCATTCAACTACTAATCAATTTCCCTGTTACATCCGTGTTAGTAATTTCTTTTTTACGTGATTGATTCTACTTTTTATGTTGTTCTGCTGGACAGTTCTTGTTTCCCTTGACAATCCTCTAAATTTTAGTAACTTACTTTCTGTTTTAGATATGTTCACATTTCACTTAGTGTTATACACTGTTAAATAACTGATGTTCTTAAAACATGTCCGTATGCTGGACATACAGATTTGGAAGAGGAAAATTCCAAATGTCCTTATTCCTTTCCGTTGAGCCATGAAACATTTCCGATGTTAGGAAGTGAGCACAGAGCTCTACAAAGAGTTTCTTAAGGTTTAAAAATATTCATGCTGCAGTGACTCGGAGTTATGTTATCCTACGTTAAACAATGTGTTAAAACAGATATTTAAAAGTGTAAGAAATGGAAGATTCTGGAGTTACTGTAGTTCCCCTCCTACTCTTGTATTAACTGATCCTCACTTACAAAGTAGTGTCTTGCACTTTAGAGAAGGTGTGTTCCGTAAGCATACTGTATGCATCTTGCTGACAAGACAGGAGTTATTTTGTAGACAGCATGATAAGCCATTATGCATATTAGCTGGGGCAGCAATTATTTTGACTGATTTTTCCAAAAAATATTTCACTTTCTAATGATTAACCTACCAGGTTATACAAATGCTGAAGGGAGGTCACAGATGTTATGGGTACTTTTTTGGTCAGAATTGTGTAATGCATTTATGTACCCGTTATGTTCGTTTTCCTTTAGCATGAATACCAAGTAATATTTGTTTGCAAACAGTTTTTTGCAGCAGCCAAAGCCTTATGAGGTGACAATGGTAAAATATTGAGGATTTATTACATTTTTCGGTAGAAACCATACATTTTTTCACACTGCAAAATCAACTGATGGAATTTTAAAAAATAAACTATGAATATAACACACACAGACTTCTCAGTTCAAAAGAAATGGTACTCATTTGACTGCATGTGATAGTAAGTTGCTGAAGATGTCTATTTTTTGGCTCTGGAGAAGATAATACTTTTTTAAATGGTGGTGTGAAGTAATCTTCAGAGATCATTTCTGAGTTACATGATGAACGGCAAAAATGACTGAAAACTGAAACCTTGCATTAAGTAATTTTGATTTTGAATAAGGCATACATGTAAGATGCAATTTCACTTTGAATTCATTCAGGAATCAGTATACGTTCATAGTTCTTATTTATCGGCTTTGTATATGAAGTATTGTTCCACTCATACAAAAGTGTATCAAACACATCATGGTTCTGTAACTTAGGCATGCCTACATTTTTTAGTAGCAGCATTCCCTCAGTAGGATTAATGATGTGCTCTCCTGGTTACTTCAAAATTCGGTTCTTTAGTTTGTCTAGAAAATAGGCAAACTCTGTTCTTTTCTCCCCAGAACATTACCAGCTGTACGTCCCTGAATCTGCTCAAGTTGGATCGGCAGTTGGCAAAATCAAGGCAAATGATGCAGACACTGGCTCAAATGCAGACATGAAGTACACCATCATAAACGGTGATGGCTCTGGTGTGTTCTCCATATCTACTGACAAAGACACAAGGGAAGGAATTCTTTCTCTTAAGAAGGTAAGCAAAAGGCTTTGGAAGTGTCTCTGTGTAAGTAATTAAAATGTCAAGAAGAAGAATGCCAAAGAAGAATGCCAAATAGGCAGATGAAAATATTGTTTTAACATGTAAACCTAGTGGACCATGAACTTCAGCAGTGGTAAAGTTCTCCACAGTGCTTCCCTGAGATACTTTAAACCTTTGTAGGAAGTGCACTGAGAGAAGAAATTCAAGAAAGAAACAATTATTTAAAACTTAAGTGCTTTTTGAATGGCCGTATTTAATATTTAACTACCATTCAAGTACAGTGAATGAAACTGAAGCTTATTGGATTGTTTACTGAAAGGTTTTTCTTCTTTTTCTGAATGATGGTTTTGCTCATGAAACTTCTTAGAAAGAAGTGAAATTCAGCTGGAAGTAGTACTGTTGGCTCCAAATTGCCTGAATCTTGACCTAGAAAGTTCATCTGTGGCAATGAATGTACAATTCAGTTTCCGTAGACTTTAATTCCTTGACTTACCTGTCAACTGGCATCTAAGGGGTCAAGTATCGTATACTGTGTAATACACATATCCACTTGCTTATAAAGGCACAAAACATAACTCATGTATAAGCTATGACGTTATTATCATTTATATGAAGTCTACTTATCTCAGTCTATTTAAACTATTAATTATAAAGCCTTCTTGCCATTTAGTCATTCTTAATTGAATTCCATACACAAATTAATTCTACAGATAATTTCATCTCCATATTAAGTCCTATGAACTGAGTTCATAATAAATGTTTCCTGAAGTATCTGTCAGCTTATGCTAAGGTTCTCTGGTGAGATCTAAATTTAGTTTTATATCAAGAGAACTGAGTTATCATATTTTAAGAATTTATTTTTTCAAAACCTCTCTGACAAGGGAAAATCTTTTCCTGATTTCAGTTTTCACTTGGACTAACAGCCATCCATGAGCAATTCTCACGTGGTTTTTTGTTACTGAATCTTGTAGGCATCAATTAGATCTTGCAGTCTAAAAAATGAAATTGAAAATGAATTTACATTTGTATTTTGATAATATATATTCTGAGTCTGACTGAAGGTAAGAGAAATGAAAACGAGAAGCTCTGAAAGAGAAAATATGGCAAAAGGTAATCCAGAGAAAAACATTATAAAGAAAATGCATTTTATGTCTGAACAATGTCGAGATATATATGTAAATTTTTATTTTACATTTAATATAAGATTTTGTCACTGAGTTTATGTCACTTTTCGTAATAATTTTAAAAAGTTTCTGTCTCTCCCTATATTATACTCTTTAATTCAGGGATTTTTTAATAACGTTTGGGTAATATCCACCTATTTCGCTGACATGGAAGTAAACTCTGCCATTATTTATACCAATGAAATTACCTTATGTTCGTCTCGATGTAATTAATGCTATGATCTGTTATTTCTTATTCAAAATGAGCATTTTTCTATATAAAAGTTCACCATTGCTTATTAAACACAACATATATGCATATTAAGAATACAAAGAGGAAAGGAAGAGTTTGTAGTATAATTAATACCTCACATGTAAAAACAGGTTTTGTAGTGTTTTTGTCAAACAAAATAGCTTGAGAGAAATTTTCACTATAGTTTAGGATATGGCAACAGCGTTTGTCACCGACTGTTATGCCTACATGTGACAGAGATATGAGACAAGAAGGGGTGTGCCTTGCTCAATGTTATATGTCAGCACCTCAAATTCAGCACCTCAAAAACAGCTGTCAATCACGGCGTCTCATACCGCCGTTCTTCCCTCAGAGAATATCCCCTTGTAGAGTACTGTACAAAAGGTGACTCAAGATTATCTTTTATCTTTTATTCTCCTCTGCTCTGATCTGGAGTACGGTTTAACACATATTTTACTTACTCTATACTGTAAGTATTTTTAATTTAGATTCGCTTTGAAATTTCATGACTTTAATTGCCTAGCTATAATATGTAATATAAACTAATCACACTGTCCATTTTGTTTCATAAATCAGGTGCAGTGGCTTCCATAACAGTAGGACAGAAGGATTTCTCTCTTCTAATATTTCTTTTGAAGAATATACTCTAGACACATCAGATAAGCGAGGTCTAAATGTATTTACTGTGTCTGAAGCCGAGAAATGCTTCTCAAACTTTCATGAAACTTTACTTGTTTGAAGTTGTGACAGAAAAATTTAATTTCTTAGAAGTTCCATGCTAGGCTGATCAACATAATTGCAAAGTCTTCAAATGTCAGAAGCAATCTTTTCTAGCCTCATTTTGGGCTGACATCAAACTTCCTACACTTTCACTTTATCTCTTCTTCACGAGGCCCATGGAGCCACTCTTCAGTCTCAGAGATCCTTTTACACAGTGTAGGTTGTAAACTCTCATGGAAAGTTTCGATTTTGCCTTATGTGAGTACTTGTTTGGGTAGGAGATTAGAGCAAAAAAAAAGCAAAACAGAATAGTACATTAAAGGCCATTACTTCTCTGAATCCTTCAGAGAGTGAGTGGTCAGCGTGTTCCCCCTTGCTGTGACTTTTGGAGAGGTAGTATTAGTAATGTTACTAACCTCAACTCAGCAAGTATCAACTAGGCTTCCCAGAAAAATTGTCTGAACAGCCCTTATCGCTTCCATTTTGTATAATGAGCCTGGAAATGTTCAGGGAATAGGTATTTACTTCTCATGAAACTCTGCTACTCCTTTTTGGAGCCTAATATAAGAAAGGCAAACCGCAATACGTTGACTAACACTTTTGCCAGTTAGCCCTGTGACTGGTTGCTTGAGCTACATTTAATATTTTCAGGCTTGCACGAAAATCAGAATCACTGATGCATACATAGAGGAGATGCGTGCATGTCCTTACAAGCTTTACAATTCCATCCTTACAGTTTGCGTGTTTGTTTCTTTTGGAGTGAGCAAGGGGTAAGAAAGGACGCAGCCACCTGTCTTTTCAGTTATTTGGAGGTCCATGAGTCCTATGGTGAATCTGCTGGAACAGTGAAATAGTTCCTTTGGAAATTTTTGAATTATCATTTTTAGCTGAAAAATTTGCTAAAATTATAGCAGAATGATCAGATAGCTTAGGTATTTTCAACTGAATTTTTTACTTGATATATTAAGCCCAAAAAGAATCACAGAACGGTTGAGGTCGGAAGGGACCTCTGGAGATCATCTAATCCAACCTCCCTGCTCAAAGGCTGTGGAATATCTCCAAGGATAGAGACTCTGCAGGCTCTCTGGGCAACCTGTTCCAGTGCTCGGTCACCCTCACAGTATAGAAGTTTTTCCTTATATTCAGGCAGAACTTCCTGTGTTTTGGTTTGTGTCCGTTGCCTCTCATCCTGTCACTGGGCACCACTCAGAAAGAGTCTGGCCCCATCCTCTTTATAGCCTCCTTCAGATATTTAAAAGCATTGATAAGTTCCCCCCCGCCCTCAGTCCTCTCTTCTCCAGGCTAAACAGGCCCAGCTCTCTCAGCCTTTCCTCCTATGAGAGATGCTCCAGTCCCCTAGTCATCTTATTAGCCCTCCGCTGGACTCGCTGCAGTAGTGCCATGTCTCTCTTGCACTGGGGAGCCCAGAACTGGGCACAGCACTCCAGGTGTGGCCTCCCCAGGGCTGAGCAGACCCGGGAGGATCACCTCCCTCCACCTGCTGGCAACACTCTGCCTCATGCAGACCAGGGGGCTGTTGGCCTTCTTTGCTGCGAGGGCACGCTGCTGGCTCATGGTCACCCTGTCGTCCACCAGGACCCCCACGTCCCCCAGCTTCTGCTCCTGCAGAGCTGCTTTCCAGCAGGTCGGCCCCGAGCCTGTACTGGTGCAGGGAGTTACTCCTCACCAGGTACAGGACTTGGCGTTTCCCTTTGTTGAACTTCATGAGGTTGCCCTCTAAAGTAATCTAAAGAAAAGTACTACCACCAAGAAACAGCTCAGATTACCTGAAAGAATGGTTGCATCTATAAACAAAGTTTTTTGCATAGCATTTGTAAGGTTTAGGATGAATGTCGATTTTAACACATACACAGTGTTTAAGCAGAAGCTTAACAAAACACGGTTCTGTAAATTCGAATTGCAACCAGACTGCTGTTTGGAATATTTTATCAAACGTGAAAGGAAGAGCGATATGACAACGTGACTTGTGAGTTACTAAAAATGTAGAATATTATAGAGCTTATTTTGCTTCTAAGTTCCCTTAGTTCTCCTCAGGAGTTGGTTAAAAAAATACTAATTGAGGGTCCAGGTGGTATCTCTCCAAACTACCTGAGTATTGGATTGTAGTGTTTTTCACCCCTGTGAATCACTATGCGGGAGAGTGAGCTGCTGTTCTTTTACATCCTAATACCTGATTCTTGAATTCAGAGAAATTCTGGGAAGAAAGAGAAAGAACGCTAAGAGAAAAACTTCTTTAGGTCTAGTTGTAAAACCTTAGGAATCCTTGAAATCGCAGTTATTTCTGATTATTTAAAGGGATTATTCTCATATTTCTGAACCAAAAAAAAAAAAAAGCGTTGATGTTTTCTAATTGAATAGCTACACCAGAGAAAGAAAACAAGACTTTACCCTCTGTATCATGCTTCCTGTGTATTCTGAAAGAAATTAATTTTCCCTTATAACTTCATCTAAACATTGTCAGTACACCCTTAAGTTCTTTTTTTCAAAAATGCTTGATAGTTACAAACTGCCATCCTGTTATAAGCTTGTTTAATATATGTGCCTCAGGGCACTGCAAATTAGCAGTTTCAAATTTGGCCCATTCCCAGCAGAAATTCTACATAAATTTGTGAATGACGTCTGAATTAGGATTACAGAAGTATATTTACTAAAAATACAGCTCTTTATTATTTTATTTAATTTAAATAGTATACTTAGATCTGTTTTTCATAGTAATAGATTTATCACGCTGTGATAAATTTCTCTGCCTTTAAAATTTTTGTTTATGTATTCAAAAAAAGGAAGACAGAAAAAGAAAGGGAAAAAGTCTCATCCAGTTAGAGTTAAGAGAGTGGATTAGTTGTCCTCCAGTACACAGAGGAGAAAACAGAGAAATCTGTATCGTGTATAAATCCTGACCAGCTACATTTTTTATACCTTATCAATCAAATTTACTGTAGATTTTAATTGCAAAATACACCTTGACATTGACAAATCACACATTGAGTTTCCCGTATATCTTGCCTAAGTACTACTTTTCTGCTGTTCGAGATGAGAGGAAATGCTTGTTTAGCCTTGGTCTGAGGCTTGAATACTTGTACTGAGTTCTGTTCAATCAGGCTGTTAGGGCCACACAGCACAATATTGATTTTAATGCCGTTCAATCATAGTATAATGTCTACCTTTAGGGATTTCAGTGGCAGATCATAGCCTAAGTTTTTTGTGATGTGGATGAATGCATGGTGTAGGAGTGGGAAGAGAGGAGTATACATGCATAAAGTCATTTATTTCATAAATATGTTTAATAGCATCTTGAGATTACGTCATAATAATTTCTGTTCTGATAAGCTTTTCCATGTGCATTTTTTTTTTTATTTTAGTGTTATGCCTGCTTTCTGAGATTGTAGGAAATTTAGTGGTAGTATGTATCTATATAATAAAGTACCTACTTTCCTCAGTAAAATAATAAGTGTTAACCTACCTATCCTTCTTTATAAATTGACTGAAGCCTGAAATTTGAAACCCAGTAAATGCTGAGATGTCTTTTGTGCGTCTATGAAAGGACTGCCTTTGCTCAACGTAGAAACACATTTAAAAAATAACAGTGGAAAACTTTGAAATCCATTTTATGATTGTGTGTAACGGCATATTTTCATGAAGCATATAAATGACCACTCTGCATGTTTTATCTTGCCTAACTTTGTGTAAGTGTAGACAGATAGAGACAGACGTTCCAAAAATTAGAAAAGGGATTTTGTTTAACGCTTCCATCTTTAAACGGCTTTGCTCCTATGTGCCTTGTTGTTTGGTAGCTCTGACAGATTCTTCTCTCCTTGCTTGGCCTTACGCTCATCATTGCAATCAGTCCTTACAATCGCTGCAGTGCTCTTCCACACAGAGAGACTGGCTCTAGCGCTACATGGAAAATGCACGCAATCTGAGACCAGACAAGGGTTCTTAAGAAACTCTTAGTTCTTGATTTAAACTTCTGTTGTTTTGTGCACAACCTAAAAAGAGCTAGGTCCCCAGGCCGTGAGTTACAGTAAATAGAGTCTGTGCAGCACAGTAAATAATAGAGTTTATGCCATTGATTGCGAGTTTCAAGGTCTATAAAACTGGAAGCTGCAATGAAGCCAAGTTACCTAAAAGTTTCTTAGGATGGCTATTGCACCTGACCTGAACTGGTGTTTATTAAAGTCATTTCAGTAATTACAAGCCTAATAGAAAATAGATGGAAAAAATAATCTGTCCTCACAGCAAAGTCATGATTCTCTCTTTATGAAAAGTAGTCAATTATTTTAGTGAGACCACAGAAAAGGACCCCCAAAAATTATGGTTCTGCAAACATAACTTTCAGTAAACACATTGCTTAGCTCTGTATCTGCTCATGGAACTTCGTTACCTGCATACTTTTAAATTAAACATCCCTTTACTCTCCTCTACTACTTTGTTATCTGACACTAGAAGAGTTGAGAGTTGTGTGTGTCATGTCTCATGATGCCTATTTATCTTTTATCTTATATAACACGATGTAATATCATGGTCACGTTGGGTTAAAATGAGTATATCAAGTCAGCAAAACTGGTACATAGTAATCTGATATAGTTAGGTTGGTCTGTGGTCTTATGTTCTGTGATTTCATGCTGGTTTCTGACAATAATAGGAGCTTGTGGAAAGTACTGTATTGCAGAATTTAAGACCATTGGCCAACGTGTGCCCTTGATTTTAACAGTAGTTTCAATGGCAGTATCAGAAGCATCACTGAAACAGAATAGTGGCTCTGTGCCATAATGCTTGTGAATAAGGGAACACGAGTAAATCTGCGTAAGCAGCTTTCATTTTTTCTCTTTTGGTTTGAACTGCAAAGTTTTGTGGTTAGTGAGCCTGTAACTTTCTAGAGGAGGGAAGGGAGTTAGACGAGAAGGAAGGTAAAATTGTTGCATGTGTAAATAGCAGGTAGAAACAGAGCTCCTAAGAGAGGAAGCATCCATGCAGAGTGATGTATGTGTCAGGCCCCAGCATCTTCCTTCCTCGTAGAAAGGTAGGATTCCTAGTAGGAATCTATTGGGTCACATAAGGTAAGGCTACAGTGGCACTGGCACTAGGTCTGGGCCTTCTGCTGTTTTTTCTTTGAACATTAGGGCACAGAAGAGGGCACATCCTTAGCTGCAGACTCTCCCAGTTTAGGAGTGCAAAATCCAGGTGCAGTGAAGCAGAGCACAGTGAGACAGGCCAAAGAGTTGTCTTTCTCATTGTTGAAGAATTTCAGGAAAATGGTATAGACACTAGGGATGCCCCATGTGTTTGACCCAGTTTAGAAAAGTGCGCCAGGACATGTTTAGGCTACCCTTGCTTGTTTAAGTTCCTGTGTCTTATGAAAACTGCAAAGAGTTTTTTTTTTTCATCTGGTGATTTGAGAGATGCTGCCCAAAAAATGTTTAGTGTCCCAACACTCTCTGTTAAATATGTTAATTAAATGTATTGAGTTAATTTAATTTGGGATACATTAGTCTCTAACTGTTCTAATATTGAACAATATTACTTATTCAATATTAGAATGTTATTTGTTCAATTCATTGAACAATAAAATTTGAAAGGTGGTAAAATTCTGAGACGTTAAATGGTGTCAGAAAAAGAAACTGCTACTCTGTCTCAACTTCGAGTTTTAAAAATAAACTAATACCTTTCCAGAATTCTGTTGGAGAGACATCCTGAATCATCTTGCTTCCTGTCCTTTGTATCCTTCTACTTACAGCTGTACAGCAGTGGCTGGTGGGATATCACAGAATATTGTCCCTTTCCAGTAACACTGACAAAATTTAGTTAACTACCAAGATAAATCGAAAAGATGTTTGTAGCTACCAGGTTAAACTGAAGCGCAGAATGATAATAATAAATCTCTTTTCTGCCAACAGCCACTCAACTATGAAAAAAAGAAATCCTATACCCTTAATATAGAAGGAGCAAATACTCATCTTGATTTCCGCTTTTCACACTTGGGACCATTTAAAGATGTAACAATGCTGAAGATCATTGTTGGCGACGTGGATGAACCTCCGCTCTTCACTATGCCTTCTTATGTCATGGAAGTTTATGAAAATGCAAAGATTGGGACTACTGTTGGCACCGTAACAGCACAAGATCCTGACACAGCCAGCAGTTTAGTGAGGTATAGTAAGTCCAAATTATACTGGATTGAATTCCCCGTGCTAAAGGGTTAATGAGGTCTGGGTTGTATGAAGTGACATCTTTTATGTTAGCGTTTGCAAGGAAAACCTAGGTTGGGATAGTGTTATTATTTGTGTGTATCAGTCAGATTTAATAATGTAATCTTCAATTTTTTGTTGATTTGCACTGCATTTGGTCTGAGCAAAGGTCCGTGTGCATTTCACGCTATAACAGCACCTCTCCAAGCAGCCCGTTGAACAAGGGCAGTATATGTTCTCACATCATGTAAAACGGTGTGCTTCACTGGCCTGCTGCCGATCAGTGTCCTATCTCTAGTTGTAAATCTGTTTAGGATTGTAATGCTGTCTTTTCCCTGTCATCCGCACAGGTGTTTTGCTAGCCCTCTGCAAGCTTCCCAGCACAGGCGCTGTAGTTGTGTCAGCTGCTTGTGCAAGACAGGAACTGGTCTAGGTACTAGTTTCCTCATAGGCATGCACTATACTGCTTGCAAGATTACGTTTGTTTGAGGAAGTCATTGTTTTGTGATATGCTTTGATTTTAGTAGGGTAAGGAAAGAATATCCTGGATATATTACTACATTCTCCTGTTGATGGTGTTAGGGACATGACATGCTGTCTCCAATTGCCAGGTGTAGGACAAAAACAAGTGCTCTTTGTCTTAGAAGCAAGCACTTACAGCATCCGATGCATCGTTTGAAAACTAAACAAAAATGAAAGATATTAGGAAGAAAAGATTCCAGATAGTCTGTGTAACGAAATTCATTCTTAAAGATCATAGTCTAATTAAAAAAATAAAAAAAAATTAAGAATTCTGTGTTGCTGCCCTGGACAAAATACCTCTTACCATAACAGAACTGGCTTGGAAGTGACTTGTCATAATCTGAACTAAGGAAGTGATACCAAACTGGAAATACCCCCACAGGAAGCACTGATGCCAAAAGAGTATGAGTATGGATGTTAATCTGACTTCCTCTAAATTTCAGAGCATGTGACTTTAATCTTGAATGATCTGGAGCTGGAGTTTGAATTCATTCCTGATTTAGAAGAAAGTTCTACATGTTTTCCTAGGTCCAATGACATATTTTTCCTGGCTTCATCTGTAGGAAGAGTTGCTTTTTAAACTGACATACAACGTGAGAATTTTGTGGAGCAATAAACAAGTATTTGTCTCGAAGGTGGTACTGGGTTTAAAATCTTTCAGGAAAAAAGTTTTTCATGAATACATATTCCTTTTCCATTCCTTTTTATGGCATAATGGTAAAGGCTTTGTGCAAGCCACGTTAAAATATATTTGGGAAAACAATCTATCTTAAACCAATGGGGCATTTTTTTAGCCTCCTAACTGAGTAGAAGTCTAGTGGGTATGTGCGATAGACAGGGTAAAATGAAACAATTTTTGTAGAACAATGGAAACATATTTTTTATGGTTCTCTTGTGTGAATAGTCTAAGATTCAAAATGTTTACTGTCGGACAATCAATATATACAATTTCTTAATGGCAGTTTATCACCCTTTAAAAGTGGCCACGGTTATTTATGTCTGAACCGTAACATAAATTAGAGAAGTTCATTAAGATAACTGCCAAGTGCCTGTCGTTGCAATACTATAATTCTGAAACAGCAGCTAACAGCATCAGAAAGCAGTTACGGTAGCCTAGGAATAGGAAGGCTAAGCGCAGTTTAACTGGTTGACCTATAGTTCAATCATCTGTGGCCATGAAAGAGTTTTGTGTGGAGAAGGGTAAGAGAATAATGGTGGAAGGAGAGCAGTAGCAGTTTGTACAAAGACTGGGAAGGCCAGAAATAGTAGGATTTCTGAATGAAACAAGCAATAATTTGGAGATACTGAAACTGGAAAGAAAAATAGTTCCAGATCTTTTTCTCTGGGTGTTCTTTTTTTTTCTTTTCGGACAGGAATTTTTAACAAATGATTGAGGACAGAACATTGACACATACATATTTTTTTAAAGAACAGAGGACAAGACTTGCCTTTATCTTTCTCTATCCTTTTTTTGCCCCAATAACTTGTATTTTCATACCTTTTCGTTCCATCTCTCTCTTTTTTCAGTCAGGAAAAAATAAATGTAAAATGCTAGTAAAATGTACTGAACTGTGAATCTCCAAAAGGAGCCAGCCTTAGCTCATAGAGGGCAGTAAGGGCTGCAAGGGCAGTAGCAGCTCAAATATCTTTAACATACCATTATATTGTCTCTGAGTCCATGCTTTAGGCTGGACTTTATCCTGCTCTGTGAGACTGACAGTAAATATCACTTGTGAGCATGCGGGCTTTTTACAAAGATACTGATCCTCTAAGGCCTTGACTAGCAAATTATTTGTATAGGAATCTGAAGAGCCAACTGTTTCTGCTGAACAGAAACAGTTCCCACACACACAGCAGTGCCCAGAGGTTCTGTTCAAGTCTCCTTCAAGACAAGAAAGATTCTTGTAAGAAAACGGAAACTTTAACCCCTCTTTCCTCATTGTGCTGATGCCGAGTCAGTGCTGAAGTGTTTTATATTTTCAAGATTTGGTTGCGCCTTTGGGAAGCTGCAGGTGAGAAGTGGCAAGCATCCTCAGAAGCAAGCTAAGATTGAGCTGTGCCCGGCGAGCCACTCTGAGCTGCTCTGCCATGGGAAGCAGCAGCTTTGCCCAAGCTCTGCTCATAGCAACAAGCATAGGAAAAACTCAGTGGAAGTTGTTATATTCAGAAACAAGTGTACAGTGCACTTTTATGTTCCTCTGTAGTGCTTTGCAAGAATCCTCTTAACTGATTAAAACCATGATGAATCTAAAAGCTAGTCTGAGGATAATAAGATCACTTCTTTCCTTCACTCCCACACAATTCTAATTTTGTTCAAAATGATAGCAGTAGTAATAATAATAATAAGAATAGAAAAATTCAGTATGTCTTTATTAGGAAACACAGATTACATAATCTCCATGGAAGACAGCCTCAGATATGACTTGCACAGCTGATCTGTGTGGGATTATAGTTAGTCAGGCAAATGGCTCAGATACAGTTTCAAATGCTGTGAGTCTACAGGACTGGCAGCGAGTTGTTAACAGTTTTTCTTAATCCAGTTGTGTGTCCTTTCCACTTTATAAGGACCCTCGTTAACCGTATGTGAGATTGATAAAGCATTAGAGACACACAGTTTCAACTGTTTCACTTCTTTGTTGTCCAGCTGGTTAAGAGATACAGTGCTGTGATTTATTCACTGCCCAATTAAATAGCACTTTATTTTGGTGGCAGGAACAATTCTTATAACCAGAATAATGGTCAGAGGAATAGTTACAGTAATTAACAGTGCTGAAGGGAAGTCTTTTTTAAAATTAATTCTTGGAGCTAAAACCCGAAAAACCTCCCCTACCTCTACTGTTATCAGTTGTGAGGAGACTGAGGGCTTTCTTTCTCCTTACTACTCAACTGCAGTTCTGCAGTTCCAGCACTGTAATTTCAGCTCTTTCCTGGACTGAGAATCCTTCAGAGAGCGCTGGCTTGATGCCAGTATTTGTACTACTGTTTTGCTTGCTCAAGCCCGGCAAAAAAATTACATTTGTAATAATAAATGTAGCAATTATTGGTTTGCTTTGTTCGGACATTGTCTGGTTGGCCCTTGGGGTTGTTTTAAAGGTTTTTTTTTAAGTTTGCATTTTTTTTCACATAGGCAGGGGGACTTTAAAAATGCGTTATTTTCATGAAAAGAAAAAATAATCATAGAAAAAAGGAAAAGACAGAAAAATGAAAGATATGAAAACGCCACCATATATTAATTCTAAAGATCAAGATTTTGTTGAGCAATTTGGAAAATAGCTGTTTACTTCAAATTTTATATCCTAAATCAATGGAAAACATCCTAAATTGGAATTCGTTCACAGGGAGAACTGACTCGTTGGAACTTTTCTGAAAAAATACACCTTTTCATTGCATTGTACCATTTCCTTCTATCCCAAAATCTTCTGCTACTTGAAAGAGTTAAAATTAAGTCGTGTCTCGTGCTAACATCTGACATGTCAGCAGGTCTTGGAAGTCTGTCATACATGAGAGAAGGTATGAAGATTGTATGCTCTAATTATCATTTTATTTTAGTACATTTTTCATTTTAAGTATCTCCATATTTACTTAGTCTCTTTTCTTCCAGAACCCATACACTACCTAAACAAGCACTTCTCTGGAGACTGGGGCGAAAACAGGTTTTATGTGACAGGTTGCGTACGTGCATTGGGAGCAGCCCTAGGCTGCTAATACTGCCTGAAGGCTGTGGCAGCACCTGGTAAAACCCTGCCATCTTCCCATAGGTGATGCCTGGGCGGTGAATCCTTCTAGTCCCAACACGTACTCCCTAACGTTCCTCGGAGCTTTTTGACTGCATCTGTTCTGTTTTCAGAAAAATAACGTTGCTGGTGTTCCCCAAGCCCCAAGTTTAATGGTTCAGAAAAGAGCGAAGACATAACTGGAAGACCATGAAGTTTTCTCAGTCTGAAACTTTGATAACGATAGTGCAAATAGTTACACGACATGGCCAGTTCCCTGATATTAACTTCATCCCAGGCTGATAGTGTGCTACAGGGAAAGACTTACTTAAATTGTATATTAGAAAGAGTAGTACATGAGAAATAAGTCATACTGTTAGGTATGAAAATACTGTAATAGCTCCAGTACTTCTGCTGCTGCTATGTAGTGTTTATTATCTAATGTTACATGAGGCAGATCATTGTTTTGAGCACTAATTTTATGGCCTCTGTCCCTCTGGTCATTTGTTACACCCATTTATTAGGTTTGAATTAGATTATACTTCTGGGCACGAATTACCTCTTTCGAACTATTTTAACACACGCTCCTGATGAAAAGGGTGTTGATGCTGATTAGAATCCTGTGCTGTGTGTGACGGTAGTATAAAGTAATAAGAAATGTAAGCATAATCCATTTTCAGAATGATATCTGTCATGGTTTGGTTAAAAATAACCTATTCTTTTTTGTT